TTCAATGTTTTAGTAAATCATAGAATATTTTAATCCATGAAAACACGTATTGTAGGTTTGAAACAAATGTAAAAATAGCAGAGCCTTTCTTCTTTTTTTTTTTTAATGAGTGATGGAGACAATGAGTAAGTGATGTAGAATGAATAGTTTGAAGAAGTATTAGGAAGTTAGGTCATGTGCATATATTGTGTTTTTTGTTAATAAATGAGTAAATATTTTTATGTATAGCCACCATTGCATAACCAAGAGACTTTAAGTGAAAATAAAGAATTACCAAACAAATCATTGTCCATGAGACAATCTTTATCGAGTAAAAATATTCATATAAATACAAGAGAAAAAAACATGATGAACTTGTAAAAGGAATTACACATGTTTAAAATTATTGTAACTAAAAGATGCAGTTGTTATAAAGATATAAAACAACAGTTTTAAGTTATTTGAATTTTCAGGTATTCATGTTAATTGTTGAATAATTTTCTTCATTTTATCATGTTTTAATAGTTGCTGAGTATTCAGCATAGAATTTTTTGCTTGACTCACTTTTTTTTTCAGATTATCTCATTGTGGGTTATTTAAAGCCAAAACACATTTTTAGGGTTATAAAGATAATGTTTTTTTTTGTGAAAATTTCATTAACAATTTTTTGGGAATAACAATTTTTTTTCCAGATACAAGTCCTATTATTTAACTCTGAGTTGGGGGGAAGAAGAAATGGATTCATACCTTTCCCAAGGGTACTTGTGCATAAGTGAATGTAATGAATCTGACTAAAATTCGAACACAGTTCTCTGATTTCTCATCCCGAGTTGCTATCCATTACACCACCCACACATCCTAGCATAGAATGTCATGAAAAAGAAGTGATACGATGAAGAAGAAAACTAATAAAAAATTAACAAGGGATATTGTTGTAGTATACGTACAGACAATAATGGGTATATCCCCATTCACATAAATACGGTAGTAAATACTGTATGCTGGTCTACAGTTTGAGATTCATTGTGGAATTCACTTGACTCACTTCTAGCAGTTGACTACTTATATGTGCTGCTGGTGAATCTTATATGTGTTGTTCTTGTCCTAAGTATTATTGTTTTTACCAACCTTTGTTTATTCTGTTTAGTAACCTTCCCTAGGTTACAACAGATATTAACTGCTTTGAAATCAAATCAAATGACAAATCATAAGAACCTCTGAATTTGCACAAGTAGAAGAATTTGTTTATCTTGTTAGGTTAAGAAGATAATTTCTGTGTAATGATGGAAGACAGAGATCTACGTCCTACTTTAACAATACTATATTTTTGAGTGTATCATAAGTATTTGGGTTTAAGCAGAGATTTACTATGAGACTTATTTCATGCACACATTAAAAGATTATCTATGGCTACTATATTATTATTATTATCATTATTATTATTATTATTATTATCCACATCAATACATGTTTTAAAACATGTAATGTATTTAATGTTTATATATGTACATCATATATGTTCTAAAGGTTGTCATAGCCAGGGGTGATAGTAGGACAAATTTCCACTGTCTATAAAATACTCTCATCATATGTGTCTCAAATAGCCTCTGTATCTCAAATAGCCAGCTTCAAGCCAGAGGAATGAAGAAGGCAGACTACTAGTGCTTCATAAACAGCTACTTTGTCAGCCCATGAAAGCAGTTTATCTAGAGCACTGTTTCTCAATGTGGCCCAGGCGGATCACCGACATTCCACATAGCATTTCTAGTGGTCCACAGAGAATTCATAGCTATAAAAAAAATTGTAGCCATTTCACAAAAACATATCTAAATTATTCATACTTTGAAGAATTAAAAAATATATTTTGTTTAATTGCACACATGTCCATTATATTTTGAAATTTTGAAATTATGTACGTATTAGGCAGTGCCATATTCATTTTTTTTATATAGAAAATTATGAGCCTGGAGATGAAAATCTCGAGTTGGCTGAAATGTTGCTGGACTTGAAAGAGAATACGAAAATGAGAAGAAGAGTTGACAAAGGTATCTTTGCCTACATATTGATAAAGGACGCACACTCAAATATTTTTCAACATGTAGAAGCAAGCATCATTTCTTTCCCTACCACATGGATGGTGGAATCTGGATTTTCAGCTGCTGTGGATGTTTTCAGTAGAAAAAGAAATAAATTAGAGCTCAACAGCAGAGGAACTCTCAGACTAAGACTAAATGACACCATCAACTTGATTATATCTTGTGTCAGAAACACCAAGATCAAGGTAGTCACTAGCAGAATGGACTAAGACTGAATGACATCATCAAAATTCATTTTGATATCCTGTATTTATCTTTGTTTACTGAAATAAATTTTTAAGTGTAAATAGATTACTTTGTCTATTCATTGACTATTTTAGAGTGAAAATTGAACAGTCTAAAAGTAAATGTAGGAGTAGACTATGATTATTTTGAAGGAAAAAAAATGGTCCATGGGCTGAAAAAGGTTGTGAAGCACTGATCTAGAGGAAGAAAAACCCTGATTTTAAATCTTCACTGCCTTACAGCCATATCCAAACATGAAAAAGGCTATGAAAGTAAATCCAGACAGAAAATCTAGAGTGGCGCCTCAAAGGCAGTTGGCTGTCAACACAAACAAAATTCCAGCAAATCCTGCAGCCAAGCTGGCTCCAAATGTAATAATTTGTATTCTTTTGGATCTTGTCAGTATGGCCAAAAGGGATAACATGGGGTCTGGGAAGTGCATGAACTCCATATACCATTGCCCAGGCCTGTGACCTGGAGAGGTCATTCCAGTCTCATCACCAAAGGACTGAATTTTGGCCAAACTATCATTATGTAAGATAAAAGTGATACCTATTATTATTATTATTATTATTATTATTATTATTTCTGCTGTATATTAATTTCCTCCAAGGTCCCAACCAGAAACCATAGGTCAGTTTTTACCCTGCTATCATCATCATTATTATTGCTATCATCATCATCATCATTATTACCATGTCATCATCATCATCATTATTATTATTATCACCATGTCATCATCACCATTATTATTATTGTTGTTGTTATCATCATCCTCCTCCTCATCACCATTATTGTTATCATTATCATCATCATCCTCATCACCATTATTGTCATCATCATTATTATTTTATACAGCATATGATTATCAGTAGGATTTTCCTGTACCTTTTATTCCAAATGTTATAATGACAGATACAAATATTTAGATTCTGGTATTTAGGGGGAATTTTGAGGGCATTATTTTAAATTGGACTTCCATCCTGGGAAATGAAAGAAAATGAAATAGTATCTGATTATACTGGCCAAAATTGGTTTAAGCATTTTAATGATGGTGACTTGTCCCTTGAAATCAAGCACAGATTTAGATGACCGTCAGTTGTCAATTGGGATGCAAGATAGTGAACCTGATCACCAGCACTAAAGAAATCTTCCCGTAACTTGGTGATATTTTGCAGATATAACTCCTTTAAAGTTGTTTGTTTGACTGGACTCATGCTTTGCATTTTTTTTTTTTTTCCATATTCCATTTGTAAGGAAGAAGTTCCACTCAGACAGCTTTTTCACCAAGAACTAATACTTTATGGAACAGACTTTCCTAAACATGACAATTTTAATATATTCAAGTCATGGGTTAATTGTTATCTATCCTCCTTATCCTTCTAATTTTCATTTCTTTTTACCTCCATTTACATTTATATTACACGACTCATTCAGTCAGCTCTAACTTGAACAGCTCTGGAGCTCTGTACTGGGTGAACTTTAGTGAAAAAAAAAAAAAGGAAGAAAAATTCACAAAAAATAGGATCCTTCAAAAGATACATATATACAGTATTAAAAAGATATACAAAAACTTTTAAGGGAATAAGAAAAATACTTTTGATATACACTAATATATTCCCAGTGGTTTTTTGTCTTTAATTTTTAATGAAAACTTATTTAAAGTGTTATATTCTTGTGCTTTGTTTGATTTGATAATTTGAGACATTCAAAAAAGCTGAAATTTTTCACTTTTGTGAGGGGAGGAAAATGATATATAAATTCTTATATATGTGAGTAAATGATATCTAAACTTTTATATACCAGAACAATGTTAGGAAAATTAATGATAAAGTGGAAAAAAAATTCTGACAAACCCAATCAATCAAAATATATTATCTACTATCGCAACTACAAATGGAAAGAATTTACCTAAGCTTAACATAAAATTTATTATAACTAATTCCAATAAGAGACTCAATACAAAAGTAAATGATAAGCTAAAACTTGTAGGTGGAATTCACTATCAGCAGTAATACTTGCCACAAGGAATATATAGGAGAAACCTCCAGAAATTTAAATAAAAGATTATATGAACACAAAAAGAATATTTTGCAAAACATATTCAATGCATTAGTTGCTCACCATAATGAGTTACCATAATTTGAGTTGAAAAAATACTGCTTTAATTAAAAGGGAAAGCAATATACTAAGATGAAAGTATATAGAAAGTGATTTAATCACTAGATCATCCACAGTAAATTTGTGTTCATGTACTTACAACATTTCACCTTTGTTGGCAGATCTATTATCAGAATGTGGGATACTTAACAAAACTGATAAAAACATCAAGAAAAAGAAACTAAATGAAATTGGCTAGACTATGTATTCAAAAACATTAAAAAATAAATTTGATTTAAGTTTAACAATTCAGTGTTACTTCTCCTTCATTTACATATGTAGTCACATCAATGTAAATATGATTTTAGTCTGATGAAGGGTGAAACACAACACAAAAAATTTTTTCCACTTTATCATATATTTTTTTTTTTTTTTTTTGAGGGAAGCTTTTCAAAAAAATACCCTTCAAGTAACAATTGCTATCCAGTGCATATTAAGACAGCCAGGTCAGTTATGACTTTGTTAAAAAAAACAAAAAAAAAACACAAAAGGTCACTACTGAAAAACAACTCTTACAATAACTTTTAGAAGCCGTGATGCTCAAACCTTTCGCAGGAATTTGCTGCTATTAACCACAGGGGCATTAACCTGATTATCGGAAAAAGTTTCATAATTGTTTGTGAATTGCGTCAAATCAAAGGAGCTCAAATCAAATGGTGGGGTAGAAACTGGAGAGGCACCTTCATGTTTATCTTTCTGGGTCAGGTCATTTAGAAGCATAAATTCTTGCATATCATCCCAGAGAAAATTATTAGTCTCATCTGTGCTGACATTTTGGTTTGGCATTGACAAATAATCAGTACTGGATCTCTCCATAATGGGACTGTTATAATTGGCTGAATATCTGTCCAGGAATGAAAGATCTATGTTGTTAACAGTGGAAGCCGCACTTGCTCCAACCATGAGATTATCTACAGGATCTGGGGCTAGAAAATTGTTTGAGGAAGATGCTTGGTTGGAGGGATTTGAAATGGAAGATGAAGAGGAGAAAGAAGTTGAAGAAACTGAGGAGGAGAATGAAGCAGAAGTCGCTGGCAAACTAGGAGTATAATTTGATGAGATTAACGACACAGCAGGTAAAGACTTCTGGGGTGAAAAAGATGAAAAAGGACTTGCTACATTCTTTTCCTCCACCGATTCTGATGGTGTTGTGGTATCCTCTTTGTTCAAAGATAAAGACAGCTGAACAATGCCTTCATTAGTCTCTGTGGGGACCTTGTGCGGTTTATCCATAATACAAGTCTGTGTACTAATTTGAAGCATGGCTGTTAGACTTCCTGGTTGGATTAAATATAAAATAAAAAGAAGGGTTAAATACAGAAAAATATAATCATTCATAATGTTAATATAAATACTCACACAATCCGACATGACTCATAGTTTCCTAAATCCCAGTAACCAGAGATATTAATTATCTCCAGATACTTACCTGACAGCCTTTTTAAGTATACAGAGACTAAAATTTTATTAATTACCACCAAACACTTTGTTTTGCTAATTACAGCCTGACAGGTCATTTTTATTAGGCTTTAAAAGGTTTCTTTATATTATAGAAAAAAAAAACACAGCCACAAATCCAGGATGTAGAAAAAAGACAGTTGCAAAACTAATTAGTACGCTCCCAACCATCAGCACCAACCAGGATTTACTTGCCTCTCGATTCCTGCAGGATGTGACACAAGGTCATTTTTAATATGGGGAGCTCATTTGCATACACATGTGCGAAGGCCAAAAATTGTCCATTCCCTGCAATTACTGTCACACTAAAATTTGTATCCACCAACCCTTTCTCTTTAGTGCAATGAGGTATGTGCTGCTGCCGGTTTGGGATCCTCAGGACCAGGCACTCTGCAAAGCTTTTCTGTGAATTCTCTGAAGACAGAAACATGTCAGAGAAATAAAGAGCAGATACTACTACACACTGGTCCCAGCCTGAAAGCTAGAGAACATCATCAGCACCAACTAACCCACAAACTGCAAAATATTGGTCTTATAGTGATTTAGTATGTGAAGCTTAGATGTAGTACAAGGCCAAAAGTATGAAACACCCAGTGAGGATTGAACTCACTACTCGGTCATAATTGAACTAGCAAGACAAGTTTGTTGACCATTACACCATACCAAAGTGTTTAAACATTGGTCTTATATACCAGTAGCCATACCCAGATATGTATATATATATTTGTTGAGAATGAAGTATCACCCTTCTCATACAAAGTAACACAACAATTGCTAGGCAAAGTTTATCTCTGATGCCATATATGTTAAAAGCTTGCTGTCTCCAAACAGCCAATTATTCAAGAGAGCACAACTCTTACCTACATCAGACACACCCTAGTTGAGGTCCTTGGTAAAGAGGAGAAAGTCTGGTTCTCTTCCACATGTATGCTATATGCCTGGAGCTTATGAGCCACATGCACCTTTTTCACCTTTAATATGTGGCTCATAGAAATATGTTAGCTGAGCTCCTTTTTTCATCACAATTAATATAAAAAGGTAAATAAGAAAAATTTCAAGCTTTATAATTATTTACTGGGTATGAATCAGATTAAAACGTTAAGTTTAATGTTAATGTGCATGTAACAAAAACGTTTGTGTAAATTTTGTTCATGTCTAGTGGCACTGAAACATCTGAACTTTATATGTGGCTCTTACATTAAGGAAGTTTGGCCACCCCTGCTATATGCTGCTCTAAGATCTATATCAAGTTTTGTTGGTCCAAATTTTTTTTTTTTAACATCTTTACCATTTGCAGGTTATTTTAAGCCTGAAAGTATTTTTAGATTATAAGAATTTTTTTGGAGTTAATAATGATTTACTGATACAAGTTCTACTAATTAACCTATAGCTGGGGGGAGAAGAGGTGGTTTCATGCTTTTTGTAAAGGGTATATACACATAAGTGAATATAATAAACATGGCTGGAATTGGAACTCTGCACTCCAATTTTCAATTTCAAGTTGTTATCCATTACATCACCCACACATCCAAGTTCTGTTGGGTATTGTCAGGTGGCAATTGCCCACTGAATGAAACATGAATTGTAACAGATTTGAAGAAAACCAAGAATTTGTTTAAAATTAAAATAATTTTTTTTATTTATTCTTAGTCAAAACAATAGAAGCAACTGTCATTGCGATAATTCATTTGCTATCATTATCATTACTCTTATCATTAGCAGTGGTAGAATAAAGGAGTAAATAAATGAAAAATATTTCATTATTATCTTACTGCATAATTTCTATCTGAATTTCTGGGAGAAGGAGTTTGTTGTCCTCATCTTAGTTGTTGCTATCACAAAACTTCAAACTGACTTTCATCAGGTGTATGTCGATTTGGATAACCCATAGGGAATTTCAAACTGAACCTGAGCAGTTGAGCAAGAACAATCAACACCCCCACTGTAGATTAAAGACTTCAGTTTGAAATTCCTTGTAAATTATCTGGATCAACATACACCTGATGAAGGTCAGAGGACATAACAGTCGAAATGTTATTGATACCAACAAAGATAAGGGCCATAATCCACATGTAAATAATGCAAATAATTTTACTGCGTCGTGTTCATATTCTTTCTTACATATACAAACAAAAAGGTTTAATCCTCATCTTTGTTGTCATTATTGCAACAATTTATATTGATTAAAAAGTAGCCATCTACCCTTTTTAAAATAAAAAAGAAAATTTAAATTAAAAATATAAAAAACGTTTTGAACACAAAGGGAAAAGTTTTTAAAAAAATTTAAAACTTGAAATGAATGAAAGAATTTACAATAAAACAATGAACTTTAATCCATTCTAGTTATTTTTCTTATTGCAATCAATACTGACTGGCAATTATTGATTATTTCTTATTGCAATCAATACTGACTGGCAATTATTGATTATTTCTTATTGCGATCAATACTGACTGGCAATTATTGATTTTTTTCCTTATTGTGGTCATACTGACTGGCAATTATTGATTTTTCCCTTATTGTGGTCATACTGACTGGCAATTATTGATTTTTTTCCTTATTGTGGTCAATACTGACTAGCAATTATTGATTTTTTATAGTGATCAATATTTACCAACAGTTAAGGATTTTTATTATTGCAATCAATACAGACTCACAATTATTGATTTTTCTTCTAATTTTTTTCTTGTAATTGATTTTTTAAAAATTTTGCTATCAATATTTGCCAGTAATTTTTTTTAATCTTTTCACTTCAAGCAAGGCAATAAAGCCACTAAGGCACCAGAAAGTGAAGGAAACTGCAAAAACATTGCAGAGGGAAAAGGGCAATAAAAAGTCATGATTCAGGGAGACAGAGGATGATGATTGACAATTACCTTGTCTGAGGCTGGTCAGTGATAACATTGCTTCTCGCCAATGATGGACTGCATCTTGAAAGTTTTGCATTGTTTCGGTGCTCACCATTTTGTTGTACGACTCAAACAGAGGCCGGATTAAGTAACTGAACTGAAGTCTTATTAAGGAAAACTTGACAGTAACTGAATCTGAAACGGAACTAAATAAAAAATTATGGTCAATCTAATTATGCTCATTCTTTATTTGAAATATGAATTCAGCTATTAACTTCTTATTGAATATTAAACTTTGTTTTCTTTTACTTTTTTTTTAATTTTTTAACAAAAAACCTTAAAGCAAAATCTTTTAGACTTTTCTATAATAGTCTTGTATACTAAATTCAAGTGCCAGAAGGAATAGATTATTTCCTTCAATCTAAGTCACCCCTCTTTATTTATTTACCTATTCACTATATTTTGTCACTTTAAATGTTATTTTTAGTGTATTTGAGTAGATGCTCTATTTATTTATTAAACAGTATTTTCTTCTACTGGTCTGAATATTCAAGAAATTTTATTAAAGATAATATGATGTATAAAGTTATAATAAATAGATATATAGTGAATTGATTTTTGCCAAGGAGCACATATCTTTCTTTAAAAACATTTCTCGAATATTCAGGCCAATAAACAAAAATCTATTCACTAAATATCTATTTATTATTACTTTATAAATCTTATCTCATTGGCACCCACTTGCATCCAAGCATTGGGATTTTCATCCTCTCTGCTTATTCTCTCCCCCACCCCCGATGGTGGTGATGGAGATGGCTGTGAAGGCCCAGCCTATTCGTGAAGAGTCATGAGCAGGAGTCACAGAGAAGTATGTGTGGTGAATGCAGCAGGGTGAGTTGGTCCCTCCTGACAGCAAATCATTTATCCTCTTCATATTGATGGTTAGACCCAAATGTCTACTCTCTTCTGTATTAGAAGATATCACTGTTTTTAATGAGTATATTTTCATCTACCAGCCTGGGATTTTCAAGTGTCTTTAATAAAGAGGGAGTGCTCTTCAGTAGGTTTTGAACTTGTATTTTTCTTATGGCGGGGAAACAAGCTGACATGTTATTAGACTGCTCAATCATGTGAACTTTGTGGCAAAGTAAAGTTCAATTAACCTTTCATAGTAACAATTACCATTTTTAACTGTTCGATACAAGGCTATAATTTCTCTTTTATTACTAACTAGCAGTAGAGCCCGGCGTTGCCCGGGGATGTAACAGTAAGAGATAGATCAAGTATAGACCATCATAAAGACTGAAAAATAAAATTGACAAAGATTATTGTTTTAGGTTGACAGACATGCATGTCTTAATTAGTTTTTTGTTTTGTTTTGTTTTTTTGTTTTTTTTTACGAATTGGTCAAACACAAACTCAAACAAAAACATTGTTTTCAATTGTTAGGAGTCTACTGATTGAATAGAATTTTATTATAAACAATTGTCTTGTAAATAGAATTTTTAAAGCATTCTGAATGTAAAAATAAAGAAAAAAGTGTGCAAGACAATAAGAAACACTACCTGCCAAAAAAAAAAAAAGTGAAGTTTTGTTGAAATCGGTTGAAAAATGTAGGAAATCCGATCCCATATATAAACAAACACACACAAACAACCTGGGTTTTTATAAGTATAACTCGATATGAGTTGTCCCCCTTTCATTCTGGTGATAGAATCGTGTTTTTAAATTGATTTCGTGCAAAAACAATTGTGTTTTTCCAAGTTTTGGCACTGTCAGAACCACTGCAAGGTAATTTTAATCAGTCCTGTGAAGCTTTGTTGAAATCGGTTGAAAAATGTAGGAAATCCAATCCAATATATAAACGTACAGACACACACACAATCTGTGTTTTATAATAAGTAAGATGTCCAGAAAGAAATATATTTGTTTGTTTTTTCAAAGTAAACATCATCGAACAATTTTGCCCCCAAATATATTTTCTACTTTTCATAGGATTCTTCATTGGAAACTTTTCACAAACAAATGAAATCAGTTTTGCTTTCTTTTTTTCTGCTTTTTTTTTTTTTTTTTACACTACTAATTACATCTAATTTTATGAAGATACTGTAAATACAGTTCATCAAAATTTTTTTTTAATTAAATAGCAAGACAAACATTTTTTTGTTTCATTTTGGTATAAGAAAGGAAGTATTGTTAATTATACTTTGTTTCATTAAGTAAACATCATTAGTAAACATATCAATCCCTCAAATGTTCAAACTGTTTATCCCCATCATTCCTAGACTTCTCTTTACTTACAAAACATTATTATTTATTAAAAGAAATAAAAATTATAATAAATGTATCATAATAAAAATTATGAAAATATTAAAAATGATTTTAATGAATTAAATGAATTCTAGTATTAATGAATCCTAGAACCTATATTATAATAATGGTAATACTAGTTTAATACTTGCTGTATACCTACTTTTGCAGCCCCCTGTATAAGCTTTATTTGCATAATCATTGCTTTACAACATTATCATCATCATTAACAACCACTACCACATTCTTTTTTTAGCAGCAGGAGAATTTAAGAAAGGAAATGCATGCAATCAGGATTTCTGCAAACAATGATTTTTCACAAAAATTCTTTGAGTTTACAGGACTATATATGTACCGTAGTTTTCAATAACTAGACTCTTTTTTTATTTATTTTTTTAATCACTACATCCCACTAAGATGCAGGGGGGGTACTAAGAGTGAAAGAAAATGAGGAAACATTAGTGAGGAGAAAAGACAATAAAAGAACAGGACTCGAGAAGACAGAAGATAGTGATTGATAGTGCATTTAAATTCATGAAGATTTTAGGTGACAGGGAAGCAAGAAGCTAGAAGAGAGTTCCACTGCTTAGAAGTGAAAGAGAAAACAATACATACCAGCACACTATCAGTACTAAAGAATCATTTTATTACTATTATAGCCAATTATAACACGTGTCTTCTTATTAAATGCAAATCATTGGTGATGGTCAAATATACCTTCTAATATATCTTAAGCCACATATTAAAATTGTTCAGCTAGAAAATCTAGTGATATTATTGTTTGATGTTGCTGAGGGTTAATGAGGCCTATCTAGCTGATGAAGACTTTGTTAGAAAGACAATTACAAATACATTTCAGCAGCATGTCCAAACCTATATGACACCTTCATTGGACCCAATGTCTGTTGGTGCTAAGAGCATTCTGGGTAATCAAGGGGATTAACCATAGCTTTTGAAATCTGGGGCTTTTTTTTAATACATATTATCTGCACCCCATGTCTAACCATCTGTAGACAATTTCAGGTGGCAGAGTTGTTCTTCTCTTAGACTGATTACCAACTAAGGCTGAAGGGCCCAATGTGACCTATTTAATGACCTATTTGGAGCGAATGTAGAAATGTATTTATACCTTTCTCAAGAGTATTTGTGCAAAAGTGAAGGTAATAAATGGGAATTTAACTTGGCTTGTCGATTTATTATTCCAAACCACTAATAATTACACTATTTGCTCATTCATATATATATATATATATATATATACACACACACACACGCACAGGAATCCCTCCATTAATACTTTTCAATTAGTGTGCTAAAAACTTTATATACCAAAATTCAATTTGTGCATAATACTCAATTAGCACAGTAAAATATTCTTCTGTTTAACCATAGTAATTGAAAATTGCTTTTTTATAATTGCCAATTAATTAAAAATCTTCTAAAATTTAAAAATGGAAAATGTGTAACTATTTTGTTTATCAAGTATCAAGTTATCTAAATCATTACAGTTGTGTAAAAAAAAAAAATAAAAATAAAATGAACGGTTATAAATAGATAAATATTATACTATAAGTCAATAATATAAATTTGAATATTTGTCTCTATCAAAATTTTTTGAGTATTTTGTTTTTGTTTTCATTTTCATTTTGAAAAGGAAATTAATGATTTTTTGTAAAAAAAAAAAAAAAAAAAAAAAATTAAAAAAAATGGATGATTTAATTAGATACAAAAATTTACATTTATTAAAACATAAAAATAGAAAAGATATATGCTTTTACTATGGAAAGATTGTAAATAAAATTTTCATGATAAAATACTAATGATTAAGATATCTATGAAAAATCTGAAGGGACAATTTCTCAGTCCTGCCAATTATATGAAGAACAGAAGAATACCATGTGGCAAACCACTCTAAATAAGTTTTTCATAAAAAGTATGATTAATCAACATTAATTCATAGTATTTTTATTGTATGTACCTATATTTTAATTAAAATGTATGCAAATTAGAAATTAATTGTGAATAAGATTAAAATTTGAGGTACAATTTATATAATTTCCTATAAGTTATTATATTTGATTAATGCATTTTCAATTAGTGCATATATTTTAGTTTTAATGTACACATTAGCCACACAAATCGAGGGATTCCTCTGTGTGTGTGTATATATATATATATATATATATATATATATATATATATATATGTGTGTGTGTGTGTGTGTATGTATATTTAGGCAGCATATTTTCATTCAAGCATGTTTCATTAAATAATATAGACATTATGTCTATTTATTTTTATAATAATTCTTTCTAGATCTCTAATTATCTTCTTGATGTTAAGTTGAAATTCGTCAAGGGAGGCACCATAGCTTTTGTTAACCCAAGTGCTTTCAATCTCCTCCTAGATCATCTTCAGGGGGGAATTGCGAAGACAAACCTTATTGTGATGGTGATTTTTGAGAAAGTGCTCTGCTATAATTATTTTAAAATTAACCATTGTGGTTATGACATTTTATAAACAAGTGTTCCCAGTGCAAGGGGGATACCAGAGATGGTAAATTACAAAATGGTGTTAATGTTAGTCAACTCAAATGCATTTTAAAACAAGGCAACTATATTCATAATAACTTTTGATCAGAATTGGTCGGTTGCTTTTGATATAGAGGGTCTTAAGAATTTGAAGTTTTTATATATATATATATATATATATATATATGATTACTACAAAGATAATATTTGTCACTTAGCTGATTATATTCAGCAACTCTGGAGTTTCGTAGACAAGCCATTTTTGTAATTGCTCAATCTACTCGTCAGGAGGTTTCAGCAATTAGCAAACACACAC